GGTCAGCCCAGGGACTTGGCTCGCCAGGACCAGCGGGTGACCCCGCAGTCGTGGCGTAGACACCTGCATGTGAGTGGTGCCCTGTGAAGATACCCGCAATGTTGCCAGGAGAGCGCTCGGCAACATGTCCGTAGTTCCTCATCCTGGTCAGCAGCCTGTCATAGTCTGCTTGTGTTCTGGGCATCTGATGATTAAAAGGCTCCAGCAGGTGTTGGGCTCGTGACGCGCCAACGCCTAACGCTCTGAAAAGGATCAGCGTTAGGATCTGAAAGTTGGGGATGACAAAGCCAACAGAGTTAGCCTCGTCACGGGCCATCTCGAATCGAGCTAACACTGAGTCGATTCGCTCGCCCCTTTCGACGCGAAAGTCGATAAGGGCAGTGCCAGAGTTGAGCTGGCGCTCATCTTCCAGATTTTCAAATTTGGTGCTCAGTAGGTACAGTATATATGTGACTGCATCCGTTGGCTGTCCATTGACAGTTACACCATAGTTGATGATCTGGGAGGGGACCTGCATGGCGATACGACGAGCAAGACCTTGAAGGCCTCGTTGTAGTGCTGCAGCTTGTTGTGGTGGCGTCATATTGCCGCTCGTTACGTTTATCCATGCATGTACTTCGCGAACGTATTCGCGAAAAGGCGTAGTACCGGCAGGGTCCCATGAAGGGCCAGTAGTACGCGTGTCGTCCATCCCCTGCCGCATGTATCCCACAGCACATCCCATTATTACCCAACAGAATGCCGAAGATAGTTATCTTGATCCAGTGCATGTGCATTTCGGCTTCGGTGATTGGTTTAGGCTGTGGTTTGTCAGGCTCTGGCGTAGTAGCCGTGAGGCGCCTGACTGGCACGGGATGCAGGTGGCCCCGCTGCGGGTAGCCCCGCAGGGTGACCACGTTCTCGATCGAGCTGCCGATTGGCATCTGGTGGAAGTCGAGAGTGAAGTAGCGCAGTGAAGTAGGAGAGAGCGTCTCGAGTTCGCGGGTTGCCCCGCTAGCTCGATCGCGGACTGGCTCCGCTCCTCGCAGAGCCGGCGCAACATGGTATTCCACCGTAGTAGTAGTCCACCAAGTTGTGCCGTGGATTACAGGAATCAGAGCGAGAGCCAGCCACACGAGAGTGTAGCCAGCTCCGCTACCAAGTCGAAAACAAGCTGGTAAGCTTAGGTATGTGTTACGCTTTAAGCGTTGCCATATCCCAGGCTTTGGCTCATATCGCATGAGCAAGAGAGCAAGACGAAGCATGGGATCTGGAGTAAAGGATAGAAGGGGCATCTTCAATGGAAAAGGTATTTTCCGATCTCAGATACCAGTCGTGCGCCTCGGTGAGGCACAGTCATATATTTGGCCGGGCCCGGCTTGAGCCAGGCACGGCAGCGGTACATGCTCGATTTATACCTCGCCTTTAACCTTCTCCGTTTAAAGTCCGCTACCAAGTTTGAAGGAGGCCGGGGGGCCCGACCAGAAGCTTCGCCTGAGGCGAAACGCAGCTCCAGCTCACTTGTACCGTAGTAGCGATAGTCCCAATCGGAAGAGGTCGTCGCGGGAGCGACGGGCCATTTCAAGCGAAGGATGTTTTCGGTCTCGATGGCAAGTACTATGCCTCGCAATGAGGCGCAATCACATGTTGGCGGCCAGCCGCTTGAGCCTAAGCGGCCCCGGACAAACGCTCGCTATCTCTCGCCCTTGTCCCAACTAACTTTAGACTGACGGAGCACTCAGAGGGCCCAAGGTGGCTCCAAGTGGGCCTCAGATGCTCCAAGATGGCAGCGAAGATGGCTCAAGATCGCCGGAGATGGCTCAAGATGGCTTCCGGCCTGCTCCTAGGCGGTTCCAAATTCCCTCGGAGACCCCTCGGGACCCTCCCCCACGAAACCCAAATCCATCAAATACCTAAGGACACACAGTGAGCCGTTCCTTCTGCCTTTTCGCGTCGTGCGATGTGTTTTTCAAGCCTCTAGATTGCCCCAAAAGCGCTCCGAGATTGACCCAAGCGGCCCCCACGACGGCCCCAAGAGTGCCCGTAAGATACGATACGTAGGGCCCCAAGGGGGGGGGACCTAGATCTGGAACCCCCGCTTGATGGATGGCCTCCCAAATGGCCCACACATGCCCTCCAGGGCTCCAAGGGGAGCCCCAAGAGAGGGCCCCAAGAGGCGGTTTGCCTCCTCGATTCTTCTTGTTCCTTGTGAATGGCTTCGTCCTGTCGCACCCCGAGGCCAGTTTTTAGGGCGGGCTGGGCGTTTCGCCTGAGACTTCCTCACCACGAATGACCCTGAAGCTTCAACACGGGCAAAAGTTTCACAGATGGAGGGAGGATCGTTTTCAAAAGGTTGCTCTCGCTTGAGCGCCGCGCGCATTCGTATTCAAACTTTGCAAGAGTTCCGCGGTTTAGGGCGAATGGTTTTCATGTGGCTCTCGCCTGAGCGCCGCGCACAATCGTTTCAAACTTCGCAATAATTTCACGGGTTGAGGGCGGTTCGTTTTCAAAGTGTGGCTCTCGCCTAGGCCCCGCGCGCATTCATTTCAAATGTTTGCGAGAGTTCTACGGGTTACCATGGTCAGCGTACCAGAACGATGTTTTGGAAGGGTGCCAGATTATGAGGGCGCAGCGGTGTTGCAGTTCCCAAAATGGCGTTCTGGCGCGATCCAGGATCGCCAAGGCGAAACAGCCAAGTTGGCCCGTGAGAACAATGGTTTAGCATGCTTCAGGGTCTTCAAACAATTGTCTTCCAACGAGGCAGTTCCCTGAGTGGAAAAGAACCGTTGTAAAGGGCCTGTGAAGAGAGAGCTTGGAGGGAGGATGTATTCCCAAATCGTTGGTGACTTTTCGTATTGCACTGGTCCTCCTCCTCCTCCTCCTCCTCCTCCTCCTCCTCCTCCTCCTCTTGCTCGTTCTCCTCTTCCTCCTCCTCCTTCTCCTCCTCCTCCCCTTGTCCCGCCGCGGGACCCAGGGATGGTCCGAAGAGGCCCTCTATGGCCATCCCCTTGCTCCTAAAGATCTCTCTCTGTTCATTCCAGTTGCCTGCTTTGTTCCACTACCGAAGCACACCGCAGATGCGGATCAGAGTGATGGGGGCGGTGGGGACGTCGGCAGTCTGCGAGATTCTGGAGAAGCCTGCCGCAGGCGCCAAAGTCCCACAAATTATTCAACGAGCCCGCCGCAGGCGCCGACATTTTCTTTAAACCAATTTGGGTGGGTCGCGGGTGGGCCGCAAGTGGGTCGCGGCTGGGTCGCGGGTGGGGCGCGGGTGGATCGCTGCTGGGTCGCGGGTGTAAAAGGCAGAACATCCACCCCATAATAATCACCCCGACAAGCGAAGCTGTTTAGTAAACGCACGCAAGGAAAGAATCGAACAAGGCAGGGCTGTTTAATAAACGTCATTTGTCGGGTCCAGGAGGGTTTCTCCTCCCTTGAGGGTGGGTCGCGGGTGGGTCGCGGGGCGGGTCGCGGGTGGGTCGCGGGGTGGGTCGCGGGTGGGTCGCGGGTGGGTCGCGGGTGGGTCGCGGGGTGACTCGCGCGTGGGTCGCGGGTTGGGTCGCGGGTGGGTCGCGGGGTGGGTCGCGGGGTGGGCCGCGGGGTGGGTCGCGGGGTGGGTCGCGGGTGGGTAGCGAGTGGGACGACAACGACAAACAACAACAACAACAACAACAACAACAACAACAACAACAACAACAACAACAATCATTTAAGACTGGGGACACTCCGTTCTCACCAGTGCCAGGGTTTTCATAGGAGGCGGGCAATACCCCCACTTTGTGGGGGGGCCGGTTCAAGCTCTACCAAATTTCCAAACGACTCTTCGCCACCACCCACACCCAGCTTCCCGCCCTATGACGTTCGGACACTTCACTTCGTGGCATGCGGACGACCGTGGCTACTATTCAGGGCCCCGCGGCCGACGACGACGGCGTGCGCGCGCGAAGAAAAAACGAATGTGTCCCGCATGGTATTATTTGACAGGGATGATGGCCCTGGCAGGTGCGCAACCGTTGTCGCAGAAGTTCGAAAAAGTTGCTCGCAAAAGCCCGTTTGACAGAAATGTTTAAAAAGTGTTGGGTTTCCTACGAATCCGCAAGAGCGCGCGGGATGAGATTTTGACATTTTTTTGTTGAAAAACCATTGGTTTTTTGATGTTTTTATGTTAAAATCGCTCCGAACACTAAGCTTTTGGAAGGATTTCGTCTTGCGCGCGCGAATGTCCACTTTACCTTATTTTTTGCAAGGGATTCTTGAAATTTGATTATATTAGAACAAGAAATGTCATTTTATAGTGTTTTTTGCAAGGGAAAACGGATTACAACAAAACAACCGGATCTGGATCACATCGTTTTACCTGAGGCTTCCTCACGAAAATGATGAAAATGTAGCTGCGGCCTAGGCGGCGCAGGGGGGGCGTGCACCAGGGGGCCCAACAATAATTATTCTTTAGAAGTAATAATATTCAACAACAACAACAACAACAACAACAACAACAACAACAACAACAACAACAACAACAACAACAACATCAAAAACAACAACAACAACTACAACAACAACACCAACAACAACAACCAACCACCACCACCAACACCAACAAGAACAACGCAACAAACAGAATTCTCAACACCAATTCCCTATTCAGCCACGCATCCAGGGACAATGCATGACCGTTCGGCCCCCTCGCTCTGATACGTGTCGCTTCGTCTCTTTTCTCATCAACTCGCATGGCAGGTTTCTGAACCGGCTTGTGGGGATACGCGAAGCGTGAAGAATGTGTTTCGCTGGGATGTAGCATCTCGATTTCGGGTCCCAAGAGCAAGCCATCCAAACCGACCCCCAAAACGCCTCAACGACCCAAAGAAATCTCTGAGATGTCCCCTCGCAACGACCCAGGCACGGCGGCGTGACGGAGGCCAATGAGTAGTTGAAATCCTACTGAGCGCGGTGTTGTTTAAGCAATGAGCCAAGCTGAGCTTGCAAGGCAAGAACGAGCAGTATACTTACATTCCCCACCA